TCGGGCCCGGTTTGCGGGGCCGGGCGGGAGCGGTGGGCGCCGAGGAGAAGCAGTGCTTCACGCAAAAGCGTGTGCCTGTGGCGGCCTGGGCTCCCTTCTCCGAGTGCCTCTGTTGGCGGGCAGCTTCCAGGCCGTGAAATGGCGCCCTGCAGCAGAGGGCTGCCGGGGGCCTCCTCGCCCGGGCCCAGGGCGAGCCGTGTGAGGGGTCGCGCACCCCCGAATCTGCAGCGGCACCACCGATCTTTCTCAAGTTAAACGTGGAAAGGGACGTGCCATACCGTTAACATCGTGAGCGTGCACCCCCAGGGTTGCAGAAATACCGCGGTCTTTCAATCGCGCGTTGTAGCTGGGGGAAAACACCCCGCTTTTCATAAAATAAACTCCCAAATCAATGACTTTTCCATCTGAAATTGGCCGGTCGTGAATAAAGCAGTACCCAGCCTTTACGTGGGCTTCCAAGTCTGCCCGCTTTCAGAAAGTGCACGTCTCGCGTTTAATAGGCTAGTAAATGGTTTGTTTGCATGATTTATTATTTATAGAATTAATGTATTTGACAATTACTCCAAGAAGAGGGAGGTCGTTGAGAATCTCGGCATTCCTGAGCGGAGTGGGATGGAAGGGTCATGGGAACAAAGAAGCGGAGGTTTATTTTAAAGTGTGTCGGGGAAGGAGGGGAAATGGCTTTTGAATTTGGTTTCTAATCTGCTTGGCTTGGATGCTACCAATACACATCCACCGTCAGAGCCGACTGTTGCTCTGCCAACCGAAAAGCGGAACAAATTCGGATGCTCTTCCCTGAATAGTTACAGATGTAGCTGGGCAGATGCAAGCGCGTTTTTCTCTCTGTGGCTGCTGTCGGTTGCTGAACTGTTTGTTTCACAGTGCGAACCAAAGGCCAGGACTCCGCTGGGTTCAGGAGTCTTTCCCCCTCCAACTACGTGTGTTTTTTCGAACTCGGATTAATATCAACACATGGGGCTAAACGCTGCGGAGCAGCTGCGGTGAGCCTGAGGCTTCACCTTTCCACCCAAGTCCCTCGTAAGCGTTCAAAGAGAGTACTTAGAGCCCTGGTTCTGCAACGGGGTGCATTTAGGAAGAGCCTTTTCACTACCTCAGAGTGCTGCTGGAGCCAGTGGGAATCCATCCAGGCATAATAGACCACCCATGTGGAGCTGGGCCTGAATGTTTGAAGCTCATTCCTCCACTTCCTACTCACAGAAAACTCCCAGCGATTTCGATATCTCTGCGGGGAGTTCAGGATCGGGCCTTTGGTGAGCGATTTACAACCTCTCTGTAATTCGGCGTTGCGATTTGCACTGCCGGGCTGCGGGTGCCAGCGCTGTCCGTTTGTCCGCTGTCGCCCAAAATCGCCGCGCTGCAGCTCGTGGGACTTGCTTCCGCTCCAACACGCTCTCTTCCTCCTCTCCTTTGAGGAAGGGAAAGCGAGTGAGGTAGCAACGGTGCCGTTAATTAATACAGTAACAATCAAGGGGGGCTGAGGGCCTACCAGACCACCTACATCTCCCTCCAACCTCCGTGCAAGACGCTCGGTAAAGCTGTTCCTTACGTGGATTTGGCTTCCAAAAAAGAGGGCCTGAGCTGGCTTTGTAGAAATCGGGGTCCTTTGCCTTAAGCGCATGAGGAGTTTGCCAGCGGGTGACGTCTCTTCGCCTGGTTCAGTTCTCTGCTTTGATTCTACAGGTCTGAAATTTGCTCCAAATTGCTTTTCCAGGGTCTCTTCTATTCACGGGTACTGCAGCCTTTAGCATTAGCTCTGGCAGCCTGATGTGGCTCGTACGGATGCCACTGGAAAGCCTCCTTTCAGCGGGAAGCAGACAGGGCCACCGGCACCCTTGTAAATGGAATTAGTCTATCGGAGGTGCCTGGGTCTCTTCCACTACCCATTTTACCAAACTGAATAAAATACTCTAGAGAAAGAGGTTAAAAAAAGGATCCCGGTGTTTCATGCAGGAGACAAAACGCGGCTTTTTCTTGAAACACCCACGATTTGTGAAAACACCTAGAAAAAGGGAGTGCCAGATTAATACAGCCCAGGATTACAAACCCTGGGAACAATGCAGAAAGAAACTCCTTGTGCTGCGGGAATCATTTCTCTGAAGCGCGGGCTGAACACACAAGGGCAGCCATGGAAAACAGATGAAACGCACCCGAAGAGGAGTGCGGAACTGGCGATACCACTCTGCTTGGTTTTCAGTATTGAAAACTAAAAATAGGCTGCAAATTTTAAAGGCAACGGTTTTTGATGAGGTTTTTCGTTCATCCAGCATATTAGCTGGGTACTAGAAACTAGTCTTTCGGACCACTGTGAAATGGGTTTCCGTGCGTGAATCAACAGTGTATGACCGAATTTTTGTGCTTACGAAATAACCCGGCAAAGGAGGCACGTTAGGGCAGGTGGGGCTGGCCCGGGCTAACCTGTCTGAGCCCGGCAGCATCGCCTGCCGCTGGAAAATAGGTGTGGGGTTTGTGCCAGCCCCCTGTAGCCAGCGGTGGGTGCCCTCTCCTGCGCTGGTCACCAGCAGAGGTGCCAAACTGGTGAACGAGCAGAAAGCCGTGTGCATCGGTGGGTCTGAGCTGGACTGATGCCACCGTTTGCATTGCCAAGACATAGCTCCTTCCTCCCTTCCTCCCTTCCTTCCTCCCTTCCTCCCTTCCTTCCTTCCTTCCTTCCTTCCTTCCTTCCTTCCTTCCTTCCTTCCTTCCTTCCTTCCTTCCTCCTCTTTCCCTCTTTCTTTCCTGTCTTTCTTTCCCGCTTTCCCTCTTTCCCACTTTATCTTCTTCCTTTCTTCCTTTCTCTCTCTTCCTTCCTCTCTCCCCCGCTTCTTCCCTTCCTTCTTTCCCTCTCTCTCTTCCCCTCTCTCCCCCCCCTTCCTGCCACTCTCATGCTTTCCTTCTCTCTTGTTCCCCTTCTCCGTTCTCTTTCTCCCTCACACACCTCTTGCTCTTCCTTTTTTGCCTGCTCACCCGCTCGCCCTCTTTTTCTTTGA